ATGAAGTGTTCCCAGTTCTGCATGACTTAGACTAGAGGTGTTGGCCATCAAGCCTCTCCACTCACCACCTCCATGGACACTCCAACAGCGTTACCCCCCGCACCCTGGAACGCCGCGGGAAAGTTCAGCAGCCCGGCGCCCAGACACGCGTTTACCACGATGAACACCGCTCCGGCTGCCGGCGTGCCTCGTTCTCGTCTACTGGCCTGGATCTGCGGGCAGGACTAAGTCAATTATGTGGATTAATCAAACACAATCTACTTTTTTTCTTTTCACTTTTTCCTTCTTTTTACTTGACCGGATCTTGGAAACGTGGCACAACTGCTGCTCACCAGTGTCAAGCAGTATAATTTAATGCTCCGACTACTAGTATTTACTTCAAGGTACAGAAGTATTGTTTTGGGTGGCTGAGCTGTGGGTTGGAGTATTGTTTGTACAGACAGAGTAGGTTGACAGCACATGGGTGGGTGGAAGATTGACAGGCCAAGTGACAGGTCAAAAGTTCAGGCACAGGAAAACATGGGGTGAACTAGAAGGTCACAAAAAACCAAAATACTTCCCCAGAAATGAATTTTTCAGTAAAAAAAAACTTTCAAAACATTCCTAGAGTGTAGGGATCGAGGCAAATTTTCCTATGTAACAACAAGCATGCAAAAAACCTTCCATCCCTACGAAAAAAGCATTGTACAGTCCTTCAGCTGACATATGTCAACGAAACGATTACAGAACAGGTCTTCCTGTCAAAGTTGTAATCATGTGACTTAACAGGATGCAACTTAAAACTGATTTTAAGAGGACAGTGTTTACGTACGTAACATTACACAACAACAACAAATTATAGCCTTACACGCCCTTGACTTGAGATGTAAAGTGAATCTTACGTTGTACCCTTAAGAAGAACGTCCTAAACCTAACCTTAAGAACGATGACGCTGTTATCTTCCATGCCGGCATCGCCTGTTTGACTCTCGGTCGACCCTGTCGAAACATTCGCCGGCGTTTCGCCAAAACTCTCGTACGCCCGTGCCGAAAGTTTGTCCTCTTGGATAGACATCTTCCCTTTACACCAGATTTACGAAATTCCGCAAATGTCGAGAAGAAACATCACAGTTTTTGCGAAGAAAAGTTTGAACGAGTTGGCAACCCTCCCCGTGATCTTAGAGCTCAAAGGTCAGGGTTTACAAAGGTGAGAGTTGAAAGTTCACCAGTAGAGATTTTTTTTGAGGCGGAGTATTAGGTGATTTGTTCGCAGGCTAAATGAATGAAAACGGAACACAAGAAACCTATTTCAGAGACCCACACAAGTGATTCATAGTAGGACTCTGATGAAGGTTTTGATGAGGTAGCATTAGATCTGGAATGAATTGATACGAAATTCAGGAAACCCTTGCAAGAGCCTCTTTAAGCGCTGTGTAACAGAACCCCCCTGAAGAGTGTGCCGGTGTGCACGTGTTGGACGCGTGTTAGTCTTTCAACTTCAGCATCATGGCGGGAAAAGAAATTGGTGAGTGGAAAGGTTTTAGTCAATTTTCGTGTCTAGAACGTGAAATCGGGAATTCTGTCGATCAATATTTTCGTGACACGTAGGGTAGAAAACTGGGAATCTTTGGGAGGCTTTTAAGGGGTAACTTGAGTTTAGTAAAAGTTGACGTGGGAAATTTTGAAAAGGATGGGGGGGGGGGGCATGGTCTAAGCATGTGGAGCGATGGTCTAGCAATATAACTACAGGAGGAAGTAGCGGTGTGTATTTGTGTTCTTGCTGAGATTCTACTACCTACAAACTTTATATAGTTAAATCAATCAAATTTCAATTATCAACCAACCCATCAAACTTAATTGAACTACAATTAAGTACTATTCGCTATTCGTTAAAGAGACAATTATGCCTGGTCCTAACTCAACGGCTTCAACCCCTTTTTAGAGGGCCTGCATGGGGGGTCCCGACAACGCTCTAGGCTAAATTTTGAGAGCCGGCTAGGTATTGTATTATGCTGAAGTCAGGAATCGTCCCCATTATGTTTTACAATAAATTCCAGGTACACATGTACCTATATAGCTACAACGCATAGAATCAAAATGGCAAATTACGCTCTACGCAAAATGCACCAATTACGCTCTAAGTTGAATTAAAGCAGTCCATCTACGCTTTATGTAAAATTAAAACGGCCGATTACGCTCTATGGAGAAGGGCATGAGGGCCCCCCTTATAGTCCTTTTATATACTTTAGCCCTAAGGCGCTTTAGCCCCCATGCCCTGCAGTCCTCAGGATTCCCTCCCCCCCATCAGAGGTCTCGTCCTATGTCATCAACCCTTCCCTCTGTTTTTCATGGTTAGAATGGCCCAATTAAAGAGGATTTCCATTGAATTAAATAAATTAAACTTCATTGAATTTAATTCAACTAAAGATAGAGGTCTTTGTCCATTCATTCATTGACGTCATGATAGTCAGTATTGAATATCCAGGGACCATTTACTATGATTTAGGCAAGTAAATTCAACTTATAACAGCAGTAGCATTTAGTAGGTTTTATTAATTTTTTTTTCTATTTTCTGTCCCTCAGCCCTGTTGAGTGTGTCTAACAAGTCTGGCCTGGTGGATTTTGCCCGTGGGCTGCATGAGTTAGGTCTGCAGCTGGCGGCCTCTGGTGGGACTGCAAAGGCCATCAGGGACTCAGGGGTACCTGTCAAGTAAGTATTGTCTGTCTGTCAGTCAGTCAGTCCATCTGTCGACCATCTGTCTGTCTGTGCACCAGCCTCTGGTGGCACCACTAAGGCAGGGACTCCTGGGTACCTGTCAAGTAAGTCTGTCTGTTTGTATGTTCATGTGTCTGTGTGTCTGGCCGTCTGTCTGTGCTACCAGCCTCTGGTGGTACCACTAAGGCCACCAGGGACTCCAGTGTACCTGTCAAGTACATGTAAGTCTGTTTGTCCATTCATCTGTCTGTCTCTCTGTGTGTCCGTCTGTCAGTCTGTCTGTGCTATCAGCTTCTAGCTGGTGGTACTGGAAAGACATCAGGACTGACTGCAGTGTGCCTGACAAGTAGGTCTTTTGGGTCTGTCTGTCTATCTAGCTGTCTGTCTCTGCCTGAGTGTGTGCTAGCAGCCTCTGGTGGCACCACAGGCCATCAGGTATGTGTGTCAGTCCGTGTGTGTGTCTGTGTGTGCACAGCAGCATCAAAAGCAGCTGCTGAAGTCATCAGAGCCATTGTAGCAAAATTTACTCTGTTGATTTTTATCATTAAGTTTTGTTTGGACAAGAAATAATCCACTGACTCGATGATAAGAAGTTGCCTGAAGCCACAAAGTCTATTTTAACCCCTTCTTATCTACTGCATGACTTTTACTGTTGAAGGTTAAATGTACTTAGAATGATCACTGTGTTAACTAGATCTTGTCACTGATGCCCTTATATGGTGATGTTGCCCATATAGGGATGTGGCTGACATCACAGGAGCTCCAGAGATGCTGGGAGGGAGAGTCAAGACCCTCCATCCTGCTGTACATGGGGGTAAGGAACGGTCCATTTGCGGGGGGGGGTGTAAGGAACAGTCCATTTTTGGTACAGGTGGTAGGAACAGTCCATTTTTCAAATGGGGAGGGGGAGTCAAGACTCTACATCCAGGGGTAAAGAATGGTCAGGGATGGGGTGTAAGGAATGGTCCATATGTCATGGAGGGCAGGAAGGATCCATCTGTTTTGTAGGGGAGGGAAAGTCAAGACCCTTCATCCTTTGTTGTATATAGGAATATTTAAGAAACAAATTGTATATCTACACCCGGTAGTCAACTTCTGCTGCCTGTTTACATGTACAAAGCTGGTATTTCAGCAAATTGCTAACTGGGAGCAAGACTTACAAAATACAAGTACAAAATGTAAATAACACAGCTATGAATAAACTTGTGCCACCTGCACTGATCATACAATGTATCTGTATCTGTATAGCCGGTATAACCACCCTTCAGCGTAACACACCACCACAATGTTGTAATTTTGCAGGTATCTTGGCTCGTGCTTCGGACAGTGACCAAGCTGACTTGGACAAGCAGGGCATTCAGCGCATCAGGTATGATGATGAACAAAAACTGCTACTACATGTACATGTACTACTACTAACCATATTCACTTCCGAAAATTGAAAGAAACAACTGTGTGTTGTATAGCCTATAGGCAACCCATGTGGCTGTTGGCCACTTATTTACAGCAGGCCTGTACTAGAGGAAAAAATAAGATGATTTCTAAGGAAAGTTTGTTGAATGTACATGTACAGAATGTACAGTACCTGAAAGCTCCCTACATGGCAGAACATTCTGGAGGTTACTGAATGTTTCATTCTTCTAACTTTTAATGAAAAAAATATTGGATTCTTTTGTTCTCCAAGATAACAACACACACCCCAGGAAAACTCAAAACCAAAGTTCTTTCTCCCCTCCCCCCACAGGGTGGTTGCCTGTAACCTGTACCCGTTTGTGAACACTGTAACCAAGGAGGGGGTGACTGTGGCTGAGGCTGTGGAGAATATTGACATTGGTGGGTGCAAAGGTTTACATTTGATTCACGATATCTGTCTAATAGTTTTCACTGGGTATCCTGCAAAACATTTTCCTAATACTCATTCTATTCTTTCTTTCCAATCACTGGAATTTTGTAAGCTTGGTCGTATCTTAACCTGTGTTTTACAATTTTTCGCTGTCTCTCGGATAAGAATTTGTTACCAATGTACATATTTGATTGGTGGACTACTCATCAGCTGTTCTGTCAGACATGGATGTACATTGTATCCAAATCCTGTCCTTCCAACTCTGCCTGCTAGGTGGCGTTACTTTACTGCGAGCTGCTGCCAAGAACCACGAGCGTGTGACTGTGGTGTGTGACCCGGCAGACTACCCGACCATCCTGTCAGAGATGGCACAGAGCGAGGTGTCTGACACCATGCCTGCCACCAGGAAAACTCTCGCTGTCAAGGTCTGCTATGTTCTTTTTACATCTAGATACAGAGGTATCGTTTTTGGTATGTTGTTTGCTTGTATTTGTTTGCTTTTATATTTGTAGGTATGCGTTTGCTTGTGTGTTCATTGATATTTGAGTGCAGTAAGAGTGGCAGGAAGAAGGGGAAGGGGTTGTAGCTGCAGATTGACCTGCAGGTCAAGTTGGAAGTCTAAATGGTCTCCCCACAGGCTTGGAGGCAGTGTTGGCTCCACCCACACAGTAACTGGGGTTAATACCTACTTGGGACTCATATATGGTTGGCAAGGTTTCTGTCCTAGATCCATTCAAGTACTGTGAATTTGGCTTTGCTGCCTATGGCACCACCAATTTATTTCCTACATTCTTAGATACATATTGTACTTTTTTTTTCTTTAAGCTTAATAGCCAGCAAAAGAATGTCACTTTTTCTGACTCAAACTTTATTCAATTGTCTCTATGATAACTTGTGTCTGTCTCTCCTCTCAGGCATTTAACCACACAGCGCTGTACGACGCAGCGATCTCGGACTACTTCCGTCAGGAGTACTGCCAGGGCACGTCCCAGCTGCCCCTGCGCTACGGCATGAACCCTCACCAGAAACCTGCACAGCTCTACACCACTGAGGAGCGGCTGCCTGTCAAAGGTACAAACTACAGATGTCTTATATCTTACTAAACTAAAGATGAAGCAAGAGATCAGGAAAAAGTTACAGATTTCTAGGGAGAGAACTTCAAATCAGAACACTAATCTCTCCCTGAAATCGTATACCAAGGTCTTAAAACTATGATTGAGAAGAGACATTTCCTTAAAAAATAATTTTCAAAACAGTACTATATAATCATGTAACATTAATTGTCGTGAATTAAAATAAAAGTTTAAGTTCTGAGGATTCGATTACTAACGTTTCTATTGACACTTAAGATTTGTAAGGTCACTAAATTTGCAAGATGTTAGTAGAAGTCTCAGAGGAAAACTTAAACCTACATTTACCATACTGATCTGCCCATAACAATCTTCAGTGTCTTGTCTTACAAATCCCTGTTCTTTTCCCTCCAGTGATGAACGGTTCTCCAGGATTTATCAACCTGTGTGACGCCCTGAACGCCTGGCAGCTGGTCAAGGAACTGCACCAAGCCCTGAACCTCCCGGCCGCTGCCTCCTTCAAACATGTCAGTCCTGCAGGTTAGTGTCTGTTGTTTGTTTGTATGGTGCTCTAGCAGATCTTCCATGAACTCAGCTAGTGCACATAGTCTCCTTCAAATATGACAGTTCCATATGTGTCTGTCTGTTTGTTCATCTGCAGATTTGTCTGTTTGTCTGTCTGTTTGTTTGTTTGTTTGTGGGATATTCTGATTACTTGCAGGCATGATGCTTATTCATTCTGAGCAAGGAGAGTTTCTATATTGCACTGAATAACCTGTAACATGTATCTATTGTACATTTAGCTGTAAGCATTAATTAGTTTAAAGCTATCTACTATAATAGTGAGGATATTGTGCTTGTACTTGGCAGCAACAAGTTTCAGTCTGTGATTGTTCTAAGAAGAAAACAAGTTTAAACACCTCAATCACCTGTGATAAAGCTTTTTAGACAATGTCATGCACCAAACACAGATGAACTTTTATGATTACTAACCCTTGTACCTGTTCCTTCCAGGAGCGGCTGTAGGTGTGGAGCTGAGTGAAACCCAGGCCAAACTCTGCATGGTGGATGACATGCACGCCCAGCTCACTCCACTGGCTACTGCCTACGCTCGCGCCAGAGGTACTGGAAGAAACTTCTTCTTACAACTGCTGAATTTTTTTTTCTAGTATTTTGTTAATGTTAATCAACTGTTGCTCTGTGGCAAAAGTTGCATATTAAGTCTCCCTCCTTTTCTTGCAATGGCCAGCATTTTTTATCATTATTTATGTTTATCAATTATCCCTGTCAGGTGCTGATCGCATGTCATCTTTTGGGGACTTCATCGCTCTGTCAGACGAGTGTGACGTGCCGACAGCCAAAATCATTTCTCGTGAGGTAAAGTATAACTCACTATGAGCAATTTTTTCTACGCATGCTTGTATCAGTATATAACCAAATAAGAAGCAGCAAAAGGCATTTACACATGGTTGATTGATATGGACAGATATGGTTTAGAGGATGATGAACATGATTGTGTAGAATTGTGGAATGATTTGATGAATTTGCTGAATGTTATTTTCCCATCAGGTGTCAGATGGAGTGATCGCCCCTGGTTACCAGGAGGAAGCTCTACAGATCCTCAGGAAGAAGAAAGGGGGAAACTACTGTGTGCTGCAGGTGGGTGTGTATGGGGGTTAATGTGTGCTGCAGTTGGGCATGTATGTGCAGGGCTCGAAATTCATTTTTCAGAATAGGTGCACTGGTGCATAAAAAATTAGGTGCGCAAAAATGTTTTTGGGTGCACCATATAAAACAAAACAAAATTACAGATCTTAATGCTCCTCTTCTAAGCTGGACTCTGAAATGCCAAGAATATCCTGCATACTATTATTTAATATGTACAAAAATACTTACAAAAATATTTGGGTGCACCCACAAAAAAGAATTGGGTACTAGACAGCTCCAAATTTGGGTGCACTAAGGTGCACATGCACCCAGTATTTTGATCCCTGATGTGGGTTAAACAGTTATTTTATGATTCAGCTGCACAAAGAAGATGAAAGCTCAAAGCAAGAACAGAACTTCAAGACAGAATGTACTAAGATTGAAAATGTATGTCAGTCAGTGAGGTGTACAATGTCATGTGATTGACAGCTGTCATGTGTTCCAGATGGACCCGACCTATGACCCCCCAGAGCTGGAGACCAGGACGCTGTATGGGCTGCAGATGCAGCAGAAGAGGAACGATGCTGTCATCAACAAGGAACTCTTCTCTAACATCGTCACCAAGAGGACGGATGTGAGTCTGATAGTTTTGTCATGCATATAGTATTAATATGTAGATTCCTTCCTCATGGAAATAACTAATAGATATATATGGCACAGGCACAATTTTTGGCTATATCCACTTGTAACTAGTACAGATTGTGCTTGGTAAGGATCTCAGTGAGGAAGTTTTTTTGGGGTTTGTTTTGTGAGGTTTAAGGTTTGTTTGTTTCTCTCCACACCAGCTGCCAGACAGTGCTGTACGAGATCTGATCGTGGCCTCTGTGGCGCTGAAATACGCCCAGTCTAACTCTGTCTGCTACGCACGGGACGGACAGGTAGGACCTACATGTAGGACAGTAGGAGTTCCATTTTGTATCATTTTGCTGTCTTCTCTCTAGTTCTCACATTTTGTATCCTTGTGTAAAATGATGTGTAATTTTTGAAAGGTCATTGGAATCGGTGCTGGCAGCAGTAGCCTAAGGGCTTAGTGTCAACCCTTTACCTTCTAGGTTCTGCAGATCTGCTGATGAGCCCTTGGCAGTGTGAGGGTTAACTCTGTTGTGTTATTTCTCCCAGGTGATTGGAATTGGTGCTGGTCAGCAGTCCAGGATCCATTGCATGAGGCTGGCTGGAGACAAGGCAAACAACTGGTAACAATTCAAATTATTACAAATACTGAACAGAGGTAAAAATGAGGAGGATTTGAATCAGGGTGTAAGACGAACTTAAAGGAAATCTTACGTACCATTGGTGTCTGTATCTGTATTGGTATAACCGGTATTACCGCCTTTGCACAAAACAGCAGCTTCGCAGGCACGTGGTGCAGCGGCAGCTAGCTATGTCACACTGGGCGACTTGTTACACATTTAATTGCAGGAGTTGCTAAAAGCTTATTTGCTACAATGGATAAAAATGGTTAACCCTCTCCCTGCCGAAGAAACTTTTTGGCTTCAAACTTGTATGGGTTAGAGTTAGGATTAGGGGTAGGGTTAGACAGTAGGGAAAAGGCTAAAATTTCTGGTAGTGTAGGTAAAAGGGAAACCTTACAGTTGAATCATACACAAGTCAATGACAGACTTCTGTGTCTTTATTTTATGTACTTTGTATGAGATAAGAGTTCACCTGCAGTTCCACTCCCTGCCTGTAGGTGGCTCCGCCAGCACCCCAAGGTCCTGAACATGACCTTTAAGAAGGGCGTGAAGCGTGCGGAGATGTCTAACGTGATTGATGTGTACGTGAACGGGACGGTGGGACAGGACATGGAGACCTCCGCCTGGGAGAGCATGCTGGAGAAACCACCAGAGCAGCTGACTGAGGTACAAGGATATTCGTATCATTAATAAAGATAATTATAATGCTTCTTGCTGAAGAAACTGTGAAATACATTTAACACTCACTCGCTGACTCACTATCCGGTTTATCGTCTGTTGAAATCAAAAATAATTTTAACAGGTTGGTGGGACCCAGGATATAGTTTTTTTTTCTAAACATTGAAACAGAAGCAATTAGATACATTATTAGTTGTGTAGAAAGAATCCCTATATCATACATTTTCCAATGTGTCAACTAGGATGTCCCTTCAGAGTGAGCATGCCCAGTGTATCTACCAGCTGAAAGGCATGACTCTTTGTTTATGTTTGTTTGTTTGTTTGTTTGTTCCTCCAGAGTGAGCGTGCCCAGTGGATCTCCCAGTTGAAGGGAGTGGCTCTCAGCTCGGATGCCTTCTTCCCCTTCAGGGACAACATCGACCGAGGACACCAGGTGAGTGGATATGCCTGCTTTCCTGTTAAAAATGGGCAATGAGATTTTGTGACACTGCTTCTATCACAGTAACAAGATTTTGCAAATAAGAAACTGTCTTTCTAAGAATGGGACTTTCTAACATTGGTACCCTGTGCCCTTGTAACCCATGAACATCTAACTCTAGACATTGTTAACGCTATCTAAGGACAATGCCCCTATTGTACTAAGTCTTGATGACAGCGAGTTCCACTCTGCAATAGTTCTAGGACAGATTGAATTCTTGAACACCTCAGTCCTTGGTTGATAAGTCTGGTACTTGAAGGCATGGCTATCTCTTGTTCTCCTGTGTCTGTATCATATAAATATACTGATCCTGAATTTTTCCACAATTGGCACCACAGAGTGGTGTGGAGTAGATTGTGAGGATGTGGCCTTGAGATAACATAGTAGAAGTATGTGTAGAATCAATCAATCTGTTGTAATACATGACATACTGAATTTCCCATGTGTCATTACAGAGTGGTGTGGAATACATTGCATGGATGACTTGTGGTCTTGGGTTAACATAGTAGAAGTATGTGTAGAATTAATCAAACTGTTATAATACATGAGTCATACATACTGAATTTCCCAATGTGTTGTTACAGAGTGGTGTGGAGTACATTGCCAGTCCTGTAGGGTCTGTGCAGGACCAGGTGGTGATCGAGGCGTGTGATGAACACTACATCACCATGGTCCACACTAACCTGCGCCTCTTCCACCACTAACTACGAGGGACCACAGTTACAGGAGCTGAGCTTTACTTAAAGATGTACTGTAGATGTTAGACAAGCTTTACTCATGATTTCTCAGCATATTATGTACGGAAAAGTAAATTCAATTTGTTCCAAAGTGGATGATAAAGACAAGTAGTATTTGTGTACGTTTGACAATTATGCATAGGAGCTTTACGCTTACTATGTACATGTACTGAAATTCCAAAGCATATTGTTTCAAAGGGGATATTAAAGACATGAAGTTTATGCTTACTTTTGACAAATATGTGTTAGAGGAGCTTTACTCATGATTTTTTTGGCATATTATGTATGGAAATTCAAATGCAAATCGTTTCAAAGTGGATACATTGTATTATACATTTATAGACATGTAGTTTATGCTTGCTTTTGAGGATTATGTGTTTAAATTTGGCTTAGTGCTGGCCTGTACCACTATATCATAGGGGAGCAGCAAGCTTAAGCAGGAGCTGACTAGTTTATACATAGACTTGTAGAGGATCTACAAAATGACTTACCACAAATGTTAGAAGACTGTAGCTTACACATGTATATGCTTTCTTTGTCTTGGTTAGTATTTGGCACAAGGTCTAAGGGGCCAGAAGAAAAGGAGCTGAACATTGGATATATACACATGTCCTTGTTTTGATGCAGTATACTATCAGGCATTTGTTGCACAAGGTTTCTGACTATGGTACAGAAATGGAAGAGCTAGTAGTACGTGTTTGAAACTGTAGCCTACACCTACATTGTACTTTATACAGCAACAGTATCTTTACATATTTTATTCTGAATTCCAAAGGTCAATGTGGCTAATATTCCTGGCTTGGTAACAATATAGACGTAAAGTGTTCTGTACAACACAATGCAAAAAGTTAAGCAATGTTAAATGCACAATGCAATGTTAAAGAGTCAAATCACTAACATGTGTACTGAGCAGTGTTGGTACAACGTTAACAAATGCGATGTTATATGCCTTGGTATGAGATTCTACGGCAAGAATTGTCGATGTTATTAAACAATACTTCCAGACTCACAAATTTGGTGTTGTCTCAGTCTGCAGCCGTCTACTTACTATACACTTCTATTAATAAGAACACCGTGTAAAATACACGAACCCTGGTACAAATATGCAAATGTCACTTCTGTACATCTACCCCGATTTTATCAGGATATCACTGAAATGATACAGAATCCTTTTGCTTGACAGCTACATTAGGCTCGATTAGCATTCTTCAATCATTTTCTGAACTCTCAATGAATTCAGATCAAGTAGCAAAGTCCATACTGACATGGGCTCTACATCGCACATACATGTCAATACTTTTAAAATTGGCAATTCCCAGGAATTTCACCAGTTATTGAAAAAGCACATTCTCATTCCAAACTATATACTCTTTTGTACAGTAGATAAGTCTCGAGTTATTGTTGTTGTCATATAGCAGTAAATGCAATACGTTGTACCTTGTGCATGTACATGTACAATCGCCGTGTAGTACATTTGTGTCTTTATAATTCAAGCTTTCACCTGCGCAATTTCGCATTTTACTGAGGATCTTCCAGACCCGTTCAGCAGCAGTAATCCTCTAGGTTCAGTTCATTCTGAAGCTCTATTATAATAATATTATACGAACACTACGAGTGTATTAGCATTGATAAATTACACATATTGTTGCTAATTGCTTGATGATGGTCACCCATGGACGAGTCTTCTGTATGGGAGTCTAACCCAACAATGATGATACCATGAAGTAAACAGTTTGCTTACTGAGTCCCTTCATTGACCCCATCTGTCTGTTGACGTGTTTTAAAGAGGACCGTCCGGGAGCCGTTCAGCAGTGGCGGTCCGAGGTCAGCCTGCCGCCTAGGTTTGTCCTGTGGGAGAATGAACGGGATTGTCGTCAACACCGTGTTCAACATGTCTGGTAGGGAATGAACTTCCTCATCTAATGTGCCTGGACAAAACTAAGGGTGCAGGGTAGGCCTTGAAATGATAGGATTTTGGGTCCCCCTAACGGCTTGTTTTGTTCTGCGATTATTGCCCTGTACTTAAGAAGAAATGGCCGGGTGTATATCCATCTCTCTCTCTCTCTCTCTCTCTAATATATATATANATATATATATATA